GAGGCCAACTAAGCAGCCTTTAACCTGAAAGTCCTAGGAATCACATAAACTTAGTTAAAAAGACATAACATTAGTCAGCTTGTGTAGACTATGGAGCCCATAATTGTTACACTCACATGTCTGGTCTGAAGGTTTTATGATACGGGGAGGGGGCATTGGTAGGGGAGAGTCTTCTTCTTCTGACCAGGCTCCTCCCTCTAATCCCTTTCTTTCTGCTCCTTTCCCCTTTCCCCTTTATGTTTTCTTTTTCTTCCCCTTTTCCTACTCCCTTTCCCTTTTTTTCTATGGTCAAGCCATTAGTCCTAACCAAGACTGCCAGCTGGACTGTCAGCCTTTTAGATGCACCGATCCACGAATGAGGTTATGTATTTTTGTTCTCCCCATTTGTGAACCACTCTTCTCTTAGCTTCTGGGCAACTTTCTGCCTTCTCCCTCTTGTTTCAAGTCATCTGTTCAACACACATATTCTATATGTTGATCTGGTTTTGACTTTCCCCATGTCCTTTGAAATTCTGACCATAGAGACAAAGCGTCCATCCCTATTGAGGTCTTTGAAAACCAATGAACTTCCCATACTTTCATTAGGATGAGTGATATTTTTGCAAATGGATACCGATGAACGTATTTACTTCACCCGTATATACTCTTTGACCTTTGGGACCATGTATACACACCTCTTTTCAAATAAAGTATTTGTGGAATTAAAAAGGTATTAACAGAGGGACAAACATTTTTTACAAAGGAATTGACACAATGCCCCTGTGTTACTCAATTGACATAGTTATCTGTAGTCCCTGCACCTGTTTGTTGGATGCGGAGCTCAACACCCTGGAATAGATAATGATAGAGGCAAGACATGTCCCTGAAATGCATTCTTCTTCCAAATCCTTATTATCTGACCTCAAACAGTCATTCATGCTATTCATATTGTCACTCCACACCAATGACAGAATTATCCACATGGAATCTATCCTACCTAGACCTGTGCTCTTTTTTTGTCTTTACAAGCCAGAATTGTAGCATCTTTCTCTATGTAATGGTCTTGGCAAGCAGTGTGTATTTAAATCTCCTCTTCTGGCCTGTCTTCTCCCTCCACCAATAGAATGTGAATCAGGATTCAAAATGTCTGTTATATGCAGAGAGTTTCAGGGACAAACAATTACTAGATTTTATTGATTATTTCAGTCGATGCAATTAACTCAACGAGGAATTTCCATCATGATTGTCATGGTAAAATAATTATAAAGAGCATTTCTTTTGGGACATTTTTAGCCAAGTATTAAAATACTTGATGCATTTCTGCACCAGTGCAAATTTATCACCATAGCCACTTAATCTAATAAAGAGGTATAGACAGATGGAACATGAAAATTGATATGGTAACTGGAAACATATATGTGGAACAGACAGATCAGGCTGTAGGATTAATCCGTTTATGTGGCCAGTCAGTTAATACCTATTAACAAATAATGTTGCAGCTTTCTAAAAAAGTGAAACTACATTTTTGTGTCAATCCAAACCCATGCAAAGGCATAAATTTTTTTTATTACACAATAGCTTTATAGAAACATTTGTTCAGTTTAAAAAAAACATTTCTACCTCTAGATTATAAAAGTGGTGTATGTACAAAAAATTAGAGATGTTCCTCAATGTCCATAAAAAAAAGTGTGAAAACACAGGGCCGGCTCAGGGATGACAGCTCCGTGAAGAGAGCTCCGCATCCCCGCCAGCCATAACCCGGCACTCACCGATCCCAGCAGTGGCACGGAGCTCTCCCCACGCTAATAAGGGGATGCAGGTCTCTACTGGATCCCCAGGGAATATGCCCCGACGCCGCAGATCACCAGGGAACCCGGGAAAGCTGACAAGGTTTTTTTCCAGCTCTCATCCCCATGCAGCCAAGATGGTGCCGGCTCCTCCTCACAGACAGAAGCCTAATAGATGGAAGGGAGACAGGAGCACACCACAGACCCCAGGCTCAAAGCAGCGTTATACCCTGGAGACCCTGGTGAGTCCTCTCTGCCCCTGTCTCCCACCACAAGTATCCCTGCTAAGTCCAGACCTAGGCTGGACATAGAAATTCCTCCTGTCACTCAGCCTTCCTATTCTACACTCAATCTACTATTTCTGCTCCATCCATAATAGAAAATTTTCCTGCTTCAGACCAACCTATCACTGAACTGTCTATGAAAAGTATGCTTCTCTCACTGCGACAAACCTTACATGATGACCTGACGACGACACTATTGCAAATTTCAACAGCGGTACAACAGGGCCACCGTATCCGCCATATTGAAAATAAAATGGGGGAAATGTTCTCAGCTCACAACGACCTAATAGATGCATACACCGACCAGGGCACCGACATAGAACAGATTAATCTCAAACTAGCGGATCTTGAAGACTGCTCTAGGCGGAACAACATCAAATTCCGCGGAATCCCAGAAAACATCCATTCGGACGCCATAGTACCATTTTTAATACAATACATGAAAAAAAAAAACCTCATTCCTTCCCTATCAGATGTAGAACTCACTATAGATCGTGTGCACAGATTACCAAAACCGTTGTTCCTACCGGCCGCAGTTCTTAGGGACATCCTGGCACGCATCCACTTTTACCATGTAAAAGAAAAAAAATTATGATAGAGAGAAACACTACATCACTACCGCTGGAGCAAGAGAATATAAAATTATTTGCAGACCTATCTAAAGCCACTCTTCTCAACCGCAAGAAGCTTGTCACCATAACAAAAGTGCTGCAGAACCACGGAATTGGCTACCATAGGGTTTCCCCACAAAGCTCATTGTTAAACAGCAAGGAAGGCTCTTTACAATTAAATCTCTTGAAGCAGGCATCGACCTCTTGAAAGTCTGGAAGATCCTACCAGCAGACTCCCACCAACCCACCTCCAACCATACGCAACACATGGAAGCAGAATGGTCCGGATCCTAAGATCACCACCTCCAGCAACCACCCAACAAGCTGGGTCCCTATCAACCACTAATGGCTGGCACACGTAACCTTGATTATTTTATATATATTTTTTAAATTAATGTATTTTTATCAAAGTTGTAGTAAAGTTGACTTAAAAAAAAACCTCTTTTTTCCCTGCAAGATATTGTTACAATGTGCTAGTAGGCATCGCATACTAGCACATTATGAAAGACTTACATTAGAACAGAGCCTTCCAGCGGCATGCTGGCACCGCTGACAGGGCTTCTATCGCCACCCGGTCTTCCTTGTGGGATCATGGGCTCTGGCCGCTTGTTTGGCCGAGCCACGATGATGTCACTCACGCACATGAGTGCGGGAGTCTCGGCCGTGGCACAGTGCTCTGAAGGAATAGCACGGGTATACCGTTTCTTTAGAGCGCATGCGCTGGTGATGCCTCTGTCTGCAGGGACACTGAATATCTCCTAAACTGTGCATGTTTAACCATTAGCCACCCGGCCTATAGCCGTTTGGCGGCCGCAAAAATGCTCTAGCTTTCCGGGTGTACGCCATTTGGCGTCCTCCCGCACGTGCGCAGTTCACGCGGTTGCAGAGCCGCGCAGCAGCACGATCTGTCACCGGCCGTGTACCTCGGACACGGCCGATGACAGATCTGAGTACCGGCCCCTGTCACATGACAGTTGTATACAATGGATGGCTTCATTCATGCCATCCATTGAATACTAGTGCCTAGCTGTGAATGGTCACAGCCGGTCACATGCACATGTAATTTGATTAGTTGTGGCCAAATCACAGCTAAGCACATAAAAAAAAAAAAAAAAAAAAAACCCTGAATGAATCGATGTCATTCAGGTAAATGCTTGCTTATAGCAAAGTAATTCTTTGCTATAAGCAAATTGTGGAAAAAAAATAAATAAATAAATATTGATCACTTCCCCAAAGTAGTACAATGTTACTAAGGTAACATTGTACTACTTTGGTCATAGTAAAATATGAAAAAAAAATCTTAAACAAAATAAAAAAAAAAAAAAATGGAATAAAAAATTAAAAAAAAAAAAAAAAAAAAATATATATATAATTTTTTTTCATACTGTCACCAGTCAGTGTCCCTGATCACCACCATGCCAGTTATATGATGACACTGTACTGCACTGGTGACAGTATGTAAAAAAAAAAAAAAAAATAGTGAAAATAATTTTTTTTTATTTTTTCATTTTCCGAAAAATTATGACAAAAAAAATACAACTTCAAAAAAACTCGCCATTCCTCTTATGAAGTACGTCGGACTGTCTACTCTGCAAAAAGGGGTCATTTGTGGGATATCTTTACTATTCTGTCATTCTTGGACCTCAAGAAATTAGATTCGCTGTCAGTACTTCAGGATTGATCAATTTTCAGATCTATACCATAGTTTGTGAACTCTATAACTTTCCTACAAACTAAATAATACATCCTAATTTGGGTTATTTTCACCAAAGACATGTAGTAGAATACATCTCGGCCTAAATTTATGAAGAACAATTATTTATTTGTAAACTTTTCTAACAGAAACAAGAAAAATGTTTATTTTTTCAAACTTTTTGGTCTTTTTTTGTTAATTTAGCAAAAAATAAAAACCCCAGCGGTGATTAAATACCACCAAAAAAAGCTCTATTTGTGTGAAGAAAATGATAACATTTTAATTTGGGTACAATGTTGTATGACCGCGCAATTGTCATTCAAAGTGTGAGAGCGCTGAAACGTGAAAAATGGCCTGGGCAGGAAGGTGTAAAAAAAAAATTGCCCGGCATTGAAATGGTTAACTAGTTGCCGACCGCAGATAGCCGAATGACGGCTAAACTGCGGCCGGCCAGTTCTGAGTGGACGTCATATGACGTCCTCCCAGAACGTGCTCTCCTGCGTGCCCCAGGGGGCGCGCACCCGGCGATCTCCGTGATCGCTGTGTCCTACGGACACAGCTGATCACGTGATGTGGTAAAAGGCCAATCATACCGGCCTTTTACCACGTGATCAGCGGTGTCCAATGACACGCTGATCACAGGGAAATGCAAGTGTCGGTTCTCGGCTGCACTTTCCTCACGCTGTCAGATCGTGAGGAAAGTACTGCCGAGAACCGGCAGTTGTCAGAGCGGGGATCGGCACTGATCATCAGGGCACTGATGATCAGTGCCCTGATGATCAGTGCCCAGCAATGCCACCCGCAAGTTCCGCCCACCTGTGCCCAGCAGTGTGCCCACTAGTTCCGCCCACCTGTGCCCAGCAGATCACCCACCTGTGCCCAGCAGTGCACCCACCTGTGCCACTCTGCAGTGTCACACACCTGTGCCCAGAAGTGCCACCTACCTGTGCCCAGCAGTGCCACCCACCTGTGCCCACCCACCTGTGCCCACCAGTGCCACCCACCTGTGCCCACCCACCAGTGCTGCCCACCAGTGCCACCCACCAGTGCAGCCCAGCAGTGCTGCCAGTCAGTGCCACCAGTCAGTGCCCAGGGGTTGTGCCAGTCAGTGCCGCCAGTCAGTGCCCAGCAGTGATGCCAGTCAGTGCCGTCTATCAGTACCCATCATCAGTGTCACCTATCAGTGCCGCCTATCAGTGCTGCATATTAGTGCCGCCTATCCGTGACACCTCATTAGTGCTGTCTATCAGTGCCGCCTATCCGTGCCACCTCATTAGTACTGCCTATCAGTGCCCTTTAGTGCTGCCTATCAGTGCCCATCAGTGCCTCCTATCAGTGCCCATCAGTGCTGCCTCATCAAAGCACATCAGTGAAGGAGAAAAATTACCTGTTTGAAAAATTTTATAATAGAAACAAAGAAACTTTTTTTTTTTTTTTTTTTTTTTTTAAATTTTTTGCACTTTTTAAATTTATAGCGCAAAAAAGTAAAGCGCCCAGTGGCGATTAAATACCACCAAAAGAAAGCTCTATTTGTGAGAAAAAAAATGATCAAAATTTCATATGGGTACAATGTTGCATGACCGCGCAATTGTCAATCAAAGTGTGGCAGCGCTGAAAGCTGAAAATTGGCCTGGTAAATAAGGGGGTATAAGTGCCCGGTAGGCAAGTGGTTAAGGGATATTTCTTGTACCTACAGGTAAGCGTTATTATAATATTATACTGTAAGTGTCCAGTGAGAGTTTACTTCCACTTTAATTTAAAAAAAAAAAAAAATCCAAACACAGAGATAAGTACAGAAATAAGAAGAAAAAATTGACTGTCAATGAACAACAGTTCTAGTGCATGAAAATAAATGTACATATATAATAAGAGTATAGTACAATTAAATACCACAATGAAAGCATTAAGTCACAGTCACAGTCTAAAATATAAACACCTGTATGCAGTGTGGATCATCTCTGAGTATAACATTTTGCATTTGATGGTGTTCACTAATTATATAGAAAAAATAGATGTAAGATAATCGGTCGGGGGTTGTCCCCAGACAAAAGCCGGCCATAGACCCACAGGTTGCAAGAAAAGAAATTGCTTGATTCCCCCACCAACACAGTGGGTGTTGATGGGAGAATTACTCCCATGGAGCCATTGTGTTCTCCCAGTGGTGGAGGGGCGTGTGAGAGCTGTCCCTGCTGGGAGAATACAGTGATTATTGCTGGCGGCTATAATACCCACTAGCAATAATCAGATGTAAAATCTGACAGGCTGGTTGTACCCAAAATCAACTTAGGTGCAATCAGCCTGCCCACCCGTGGTTTGAATCTCGGCCGGTCCATGCTGAACCAGGTGATATTCAATTTGTCCAGCTTAACAAACCAATCAAAATTCTCAGTTTCACAAAAGGGTAAGATTTCAACGGGGAGATACAGTATATATCATGGGCAGCACAGTGGCTAAATGGTTAGTACTTCTGCCTGGCAGTACTGGGGTCATTGGTTCGAATCACAGCCACGGCACCACCTGCCTGGAGTTTGCATGTTCTCCCTGTGCCAGCATAGGTTTCCTCTGGGTACTCCGGTTTCCTCCCACACTCCACAGACATGCTGGTAGGTTAATTGGATCCTGTCTAAATTGGTCCTAGTATGTGTATGTATGAATGTGAGTTAGGGACGTTAGATTGTACGCCCCTTGAGGGTTAGGGACTGATGTGAATGTACAATATATATGTAAAGCACTGCGTAAATTGACGGCGCTATATAAGTACTTGAAATAAATAAATATAATTTTGGTTCTCTTGGGATAAATTATATATTGATTTTATATTTTGTTTACTATATATACTTTATAGTGCAGACTCCAGTGGAGAGTTCCTGTAGCCCTCTGTGCTCCCCAGTGTCTTATGATGTTGGGGTTGCCGGAAGCCTGTGGACACAATGCGGATTGTTTACTAAAACTGCATTGTGAACAATATGGAGCAGCTCTGCATATAAACCAATCAGCCTGCAGGGTTTAATTTCAAGGCTTAATTGAACAAGCTGAAGTTAGAAATTGATTGGCTACCATGCCGAGCTGCACCAGATTTTGAGTGCTCCAGTTTTAGTAGGCCAACTCCATTCTATCTGTTGGCTGATAATCTTTGTTGCTTTGTTAGTTTTTCATTTAAGTTGGTTTATGTACAGTATTACTGTCACCTAATCTACTGTATGTACAGTATATATAAATTTTCTATTATGTATGAGTATGTTCCCTGATATATACACTCATATTTCAGATTGATCACAAATTTCTTTGTGAAGAACATTCTTTTGAAATTGAGACTCATCAGTAACATCGGGTCAAAGTGTGGCTCTTGTAACAGTTAATCTGTAACATATGTATGTGGGGTGGTTTTGAAATAACAGATAACATTGGTCCAGTGAAGGTCATATAAATTTGACAGCCATGTTTTTATGGAAACTTCTTTCACGTAATATTTAATGAAACTTTTGGAAATTTAATATTTGTGTCTAATTGGTGCCTTAAAAATCCTAGTCCATGTTTTGTTTATTTTATTTATTCTATTATTTATTTATTATAGGTACTTAATAGTGCTGTCAATTTACACAGCGCGTTGCATACATATTGAACATTCACATCAGTCCCTAACCCTCAAGAAGTGTACATTCTAAGGTCCCTAACTTACATTCATACATACACATACAAGGGCCAATTTTAGACAGGATCCAATTAACCTACCAGCATTTCTTTGGGAGTAAACTGGAGTACCCGGAGGAAACCCATACAGGCACAGGGAGAACATGCAACTACAGGCAGGTGGTGCCGTGGTTGGGATTCGACCTTTAAACCACTGTGCTGCCCTCAATGTTCGTCCAATACTTAACAAGTGCAGGGGAAAAAAAACCAGAGAAGAACTGAGTACAAAAACATTATATCTTATGGAGCACACACCAGTTGGAACACATAGTGTACAAGAGATATGTGCTGGGTTTTTTTCATTGCGAAATAGTTTTTCTGACAAAAATGTAATTTTCAGAAATTCAGATGTATACAAATCTCCGAATAGATATAGTAACGAATGTTAACAAATCTGCAAAAAAGTTATAACGAAATTTACAAATGCATTTGTTTCATTTGGATGACATCACATGATGTGATAGTAGTTTGGGCCCATGAGGAAATTAATTAAATATTCAAACTCATTTGATAATTCAAATAAAGAATAGATCCAAATTTCATTCAATTCGTTAACTTGGATGCACATGATTCCAGTCGATATTGTTCAGCTTATACCATTTCATCTGTCCGATTTGATAATACACTATATTGCCAAAAGTATTGGGCCAGCCCTCCAAATCATTGAATTCAGGTGTTCCAATCACCTCCACAGCAACAGGTGTATAAAATCAAGCACTTAAGCATTCAGACTGCTTCTACAATCATTTGTGAAAGAATGGGTCGCTCTCAGGAGCTAAGTGAATTCAAGTGTGGTCCTGTGATAGGTTGCAACCTGTGTAATAAGTCCATCCGTGACATTTCCTGGCTACTAAATATTCCACGGTCAACAGTTAGTGATATTATAACAAAGTGGAAGCAACTGGGAAATACAGCAACTCAGCCACCAAGTGGTAGGCCACGTAAAATGACAGAGCAGTGTCAGAGCTTACTGAAGTGCACAGAAGTCGCCAACTGTCTGCAGAGTCAATAGCTATAGACCTTCAAACTTCATGTGGCCTTCAGATTAGCACAAGAGTGCTAGAGAGGTTCATGGAATGGGTTTTCATGGCTGAGCAGCTGCATCCAAGCCTTACATCACCAAGTGCAATCCAAGCGTGGGACGCAGTGCTGCAGTGCTGGACTCTAGAGCAGTGCGGTCATGTTCTCTGGAGTGATGAATCACGCTTCTCTATCTCCCAATCCGATGGACATGTCTGGGTTTGGCGGTTGCCAGGAGAATGGTAGTTGCCTGACTGCATTGTGCCAAGTGTAAAGTTTGGTGGAGGGGGAATTATGTTGTGGGGTTGTTTTTCAGGGGTTGGGCTTGGTCCCTTAGTTCTAGTGTAGGGGACTCTTAAGGCGTCAGCATACCAAGACATTTTGGACAATTTCATGTTCCCAACTTTGTGGGAACAGTTTGGGGATGGCCCCTTCCTGTTCCAACATGACTGCGCACCAGTGCACAAAACAAGGTCCATAAAGACATGGATGAGCAAGTTTGAGGTGTAGGAACTTGATTGGCCTGCACAGAATCCTGACAGCAGCACGACAGAACACCCTTGAAATTAATTAGAGCGCAGACTTAAAGCCAGGCCTTTTCATCCAACATCAGTGCCTGACCTCACAAATGCACTTCTGGAAGAATGGTCAAACATTCCCATAGACACACTCCTAAACCTTGTGGACAGCCTTCCCAGTAGAGTTGAAGCTGTTATACCTGTAAAGGGTGGACAAACTCAGTATTGAACCCTATGGATTAAGACTGGGATGCCATTAAAATTCATGTGCTTCTTATGGCAGGCGGCCCAATACTTTTGGCAATAAAGTGTATAGCAGTCTTTTGGAAAAACCGCAACATTTTTTGACTCTACCCAGAACAACGAATATATGAAATGAATGCCAAAGATACGAAATGAACCCTGAGAATGAATTTGTTCAACATAATAAATATGACAAAACAAAATTCTTCAATGAACAAATGCATCTGTAACATCTATTATACAGTCTGTAGATAGTCAAACAATGAGTAGGTATCAGGAAGAGGTGTCAAGTGAGGGAGCTCTGCCATTCCTAGATTGATACCATAGAGGCTACATTTTATTAAATAGTTCCAAGGAGCCCTGAGTTATTGCAGTCATATATTCCATTTTTCTTTTACTAGCAATACTGGACACAAATTGAATGTTAGAAGGTGCCTTAGTCTGCCAGTGTAATGGAATAAGTCTCCTAGCGACTGTTACAATATGGGTGGCTAGTTTTTTAGAGTACTTGGAGAAGCCTAGAAACAGTAGTCCAAGAAGA